CCCTGAAACAAACCATCAGAGAGCCTCTCAGCACCGAGCTGCGATGTGATGAGTGGTCTTTCATGGGTGTTGCCATGGGAGCATCGTGGGAGCACTCCACGTAAAGCATCCCATAGAGTTCTCACCCAAACCCCAGAGGACGCCGTGTGCTCTGTGTCCGTTCACACAGGACTAGAAATGCAGGCTCAGAGAGGTAAAGCAGTTAGCCCAAGGTCACACAGCTAGTGGGCAGTATGCTGAGACTCCATACCACAGGTCTGTCTGACTCTGGTTTTCAGTGCTGTGTGTTACAACCCCGTCAGCCTATTTATTTTACAGGTAGAGAAACTGGGGCCACCCGAGAAAACAAAACATAGACGCTGGTAATAGCTCACTTCTCCCTAGCCCTTTATGGGTTCCAAATCACTTGTATGTTCTTATTCTCATTTTATGCTCTCGAAACTCTGAAAGACCATCAGGGACTGTGTTGCTGGCCCCATTTTGCAGATGTAGAAACTGAGTGTGGCCAGGAAGGCAGGCCACAGGCACACCTTGCTCCGGAAAACCAAAAGCGGACGCGTGGAAACGTGGAGACACGCATGTCCACTCAGCCCATCGAGGCAGTGCTGGCTCGGCTTCTCGGGGTGGGATCCCGGGCGGTGGGAACAGAATGCCTCCATTCAGCATTGAGCTCCTGCCTTTCTCAAAGCTCTTTTATTTGCATCTTCCTGGTCCCTGCTCGAATTCAGAAGAATTGGATCTGAGGTACGGGGTGGTTATAAGAGGATTTTAGTGAGTGAGTGAATGAATGAATGAATGAATGAATGAATGAATGAGCAAACGAGCAGGTGTGCCATGGCCTAGCTGTTCTGACCACCAACTGGGAGCACTTTTTACTGGTATTTGCAGCTCACATTCTGTAGAAGTTAGGATATAGCTTAGACTGCTGTTAACACACACACACACACACACACACTAGTGATTTACACAAACTAAATCTGTTTCACTGTCATGTACCAGCATAGGCTGGTGTGAAACCTCTCTTCCACGAGGTCCTCAGAGACCCAGGCTCCTCTCTCGTCACTCCACCGTCCCCAGCGGTTTCTCCAGCCACATGCTCCTCCCCTCGAAGGGCATGACCTGAAAGCTGAACACCGCATTTCCTCCTGGAATACCGTGAGTCAGAACTTGATCTATGGCTGCACCTAGCTGCAAGGGAAGCTGGGAAATGCAGTCTTTCTTTTTCGTGGCCAGGTCCCAGCTGAAAGTCAGTTCTGTCACTGTGAAAATGAGACTGGACAGTGGGGGAGGAGGAGGAAAGTAGTCTCTGGCACTCATTCCAGGCTAGAATGAAGCTGAGCAGCCAAAGATCAGTGACAATTGTCAGTGACCCCAGAACCACAGTCCCTGGCGTGGCCACTGGCCTTCGACTGGCAGAGTCCTGAGGGCTGGGACCGGCTCTGACTCACTTCGCCCTGCACCAGCGCCTGCTTGTCACAGCTGCTGCTCACTGAGCACTAGCTGCCAGCCACTGCCCTGAGCACCACCTCAGTGAGGGCACTTGCCTCGGATGCAAAATTTAAGGAGCTGCCAAAAAACTCACTAATCAAGACATATTTTCTATATGTATGTGTGTGTGTGTGTGTGACATATGCATATATATGTATTACGTTATATATGCACTTTTTTTTTTTTAATCCTCACCCGAGGACATTTTTTCCATTTTTTGTTCAGATAGAGTGGGAGGGAGAGAGAGGAAGAGAGAGAGCGAGAGAGAGAGAAACATCGACATGAAAGGGACACATCGAGTGGCTGCCACCCGCACGACCAACCAGGGCCGGGGACAAACTGCAACCGAGGTACGTGCCCTTAGCGGGAACCGAACCCGGGTCTCTCTGGACCGCAGGCCAACGCTCTAACCACTGAACAACCCGGCCAGGACATGCACATATTTTTCAAATACAATGGCTTTCACTGTATTCACAAAATTGCATGACCAAAACTACTTTAATTCCAGAATATTTTTATCACCCTCAAAAGAAACTCCATACCCCCAGTGCCTGGCAACTACTAGTCTGCTTCTCTCTCTGTGGATTTGCTTATTTGGGACATTTTGTGTAAATGAAATCATACAATATGTACACTGGGGGAGGAGGTCTTTGGGGATTTGCTCCTTTCACGTAGCATAATGATTTCAAGGTTCATCGGTGTCACCGAATGTGGTTTGTTCCTTTCTGCTACCAAACAGTGTGCCAATGTATGGACAGACCACATTCTGTCTGTTCACTCGCCGGCTGATGAACATCTTGGCTGGTCCGCCTTTGGGCTTTTATGAATAATGTTGCTATGAATGTGTGTACGAGTGTGTGTGTGTGAACATGTCTTCATCTTTCTTGGCTACGTAACTAGGAGTGGAATTGCTGGGTCTGATGTTAAGATAAGTCATTTTAATGCAATATTTAAAAAAATAAAAATTAGTGCACAAAAATCTATGATGAACAAGATAGCAGCCTTTTAAGCAAAGACAGGGTATTGTCTGTTTCGTGAGCCTGCACTGGACAATGGGAACCATCATTCCAACCAGCTGTGATTCCTGGGCTCGTGTGAGTTGTGACGGCTGAGCACGGCATGCGGACAGATTGTTAACCCAGGGTTTGGTCTGCAGTCATGTGTTTTGATTGTGAGCATTCAAAATATGAGGGGATATTTTGCTAAGTAGCTATAAGAGCACACATTTTTCCTTTTGCCACAGGCCCCACTACAGCTCAGCAAAGCACTGACCACTGACATCATTTCATTTCATTCCCAAGCCTCCTCTCGCTCTCCAACCTCTCTGCCAAGGTTAGAGAAGGAAAGGAACATCCAGGGGTCACAGCTAGTGCATGGGACGGCTGGGATTCGAACCTGGGCCGGAGGCCAGACGCCTAGCTCTCCACCACTCACCTCTCATCACTTCAGAATATGAGGGCCAAGGGAGAGTCACTTAAGCTCCCTGAACCTCAGTCTTCTTCCGTAAGATGGGCAAACAGCTCCTTTGTGTAACTGTGATAAGGAACTGATGTGAACAGGCACAGTCAGCTACGAAATCTGCTTTCTCCACTGGGGGTGCTCGTCGTGAGCTGCACCCTGTGGCCGTGCAGTGCATCACTAGTGAAACTGCCCTCATGTGCTGTGGGAACCCACCAATCCTGTCCCCCAAATGGAGCCACACACAGACATTTTATCTTTGCCCTAGGGTTAGACAAATCATTGGTTTCCTCCAAGAAACAGGTGTATTTTCTCAGGGACCATGAGAAGAACGTAGCTGATTGTGTTTTCCGTTTCACTTTGGCCACCAGGAGACTCAAAGCCAAATTTGTGGCTGCAAAGGAGCCGTTGTGTGAGTTCTTGCTTATGTGTGTTTATTTCTTCTGTGTTATACCTCCCTCTGGTAACTTATGTTTGTCCTGATGTTTACATTTTTATTTCGATTTTACTGGTTTATCATGTATTTCCTGATGGTCACCTAAATCCTCTGTGAAACATGGCTTGGCAGGTATCGGACTGATGGCTCATCCTACCCAAGGCTTGATGATTCTTCCGGGGCCATGCCCAGGCCTGGTAACTCCAGCTGAGTCTGGAGACTTTGACTGAGCCCTGGCCTCCCTTAGGTAGGAGGAGGTGAGGAGGGAGTTGGGGACCCCAGTGGCCACCCCTCACTGTGCAAAGCTGCTCAGTCAAGCTGTCCTGGTCCTCAGTGCGCCTGTATGGCAGGCCAAGAGACCACCGGAGGGACTCCAGGAGGATTCTGTCCCTGCAGGAATCCTCGCCCTCCTTGGATTTTGTGTTGCCGCGTGGTCATTCTTCAGAGTCAAACTGGGGAGGCCCACCTTCCACCCTCTCCTCTTCCCCAAGGCGTCCATTCCGGTCCGAAGGCTCCGAGCCCTGTGACCATCCCCCACGAGAGCAGAGGGAGGGGTTCTTCCTCTCAGAGGCTTCACATGGTTTTTCTTTTACTGATTGTAGAGAGAGGAAGGGAGAGGGAGGGAGAGAAACATCGATGAGAGAGAACACCGACTGGCCGCCTCCTGCACGTTCCTCACTGGGGATCAGGCCCACAACCTGGGCATGCGCCCTGACCGGGAATCGAACCGGCAGCCTGTTGGTGCATGGGCCAACACTCAACCACTGAGCCACACCAGCCACATGGCATGTACATTTTAAAAGAAATGCTCATGAAGGGCTCTGCCTAAACCAAAAGAATGCAGGTGGAATTGGGGAGTTTCTGACCTGACAGCATCGACGGGGGAGGGGGGGGCTTTCCGTTGGGCAGGTGGAGAGGGAGATGTGTGCTTAAAGGGACAGGGAGCCTTCCCAGAAGACATCAGCATGAGACAGACAGTGCTCCTGGGTGGGTCCCTGAATAAGTGTGATGTGACCTTGACTGTCAAGCAAGCGGATTGAGGGGGAGGATCCAGGAAAGGGGAAGAGACCGGGTCCTGCCCACCCCGCAGAGGACCCCTTTCTCAGTTCCTCCTTCTCAACCCGGACTCTGCAAGATCTCACTTATCTGTGGAATATAATGAACAAAAAAAAGCCGATGAACAAAATAGACGCAAAGACATAGAAAGGAGTATGGTTCAGACTGGGGGCAGGGGGCAGAGCGGAGGGGTGCGATAAACCGAAGAACTTATACACATGTATGCGTGACCAGTGGACATAGACGACAATGCTTACAGAGTGGGGGTGGGGGTGGGGTAGGGAGGAGAGTGTCTGGGGGGGGGAGGAGAAACATCTGTAACAAAATTAATTAATTAATTAATTAGTTAATTAATTAAAAAGAAAAAACCCGGACTGTGTCACAGGCCACCCCAAGAAGTCTGATTCCGGGGTCACCCCTGTCCCGAGAGTCATAAGAAAGCAGGAAGGTTCCTCTTCTAGGGGTGACCACCCCCTACCCAGAAAATCGTTGTTTTTAGCCCCCTGGGAACCACTCCCAAGAGCCTCGCACTCACCTCCTCCTGCCTCCTCCCTCCTCCCAGGGAAGCCCTACGGGGCAGACGACTTCCTGCCCGTGCTCATGTATGTGCTGGCCCGCAGCAACCTCACGGAGATGCTCCTCAACGTGGAGTACATGATGGAGCTCATGGACCCTGCCCTGCAGCTGGGGGAAGGTGAGTCACTGCCCCGGGCCCATCGCTGGGTCCCAGGGGCCTGTTGCACACCCCCAACCAGCCATGCCAGGGGTATACTGGGCAACCCAATAAGCACCTCCTGAATGCCAGATTCCACTGAGCTTTGGGGACACAACGCAGGGCCTGACACAGACCCTATCCTGGTGGAGCGCACAGATCAGCAGGGGAGCTAGACCGGTGAAGAGACCATGTCACTGCTGCTTGGCATATGCTGTAAAGGTGGGAAGCCTAGAGGGTATGGGAGCATGTTACCCAGGCTGTGCAGTCAAAGAAGACTTCCTAGAGGGGGTGACCCCTGAGCTGAGCATGGAAGATTGACTGGGAGCCAGTCAGATAAAGAAGGGGGAAAGGCCCTGACCAGTTTGGCTTAGTGGTTAGAGTGTTGGCCTGCGGTCCGGAGAGACCCGGGTTCGGTTCCCGCTAAGGGCACGTACCACGGTTGCAGTTTGTCCCCGGCCCTGGTTGGGTCGTGTGGGTGGCAGCCACTCGATGTGTCCCTTTCATGTCGATGTTTCTCTCTCTCTCTCTCTTCCTCTCCCTCCCTCCCACTCTATCTGAACAAAAAATGGAAAAATGTCCTCAGGTGAGGATAAAAAAAAAAAAAGGGGGGGGGGGAAGGCATTCCCCGCAGAGAGAACAGCAGTTGTTAGCGTAGAAGATAAGGCTGAAGCAGCGGGCAGTGTCCACGGGGAGTCTGAGCAGGGACGATGGTCAGTTCTCAGGCTGGGGTGCCCTGTGGTCTCTGAGCCCCCCTGTTCATCCAGCCCTGGGACAGGCCCTCTGTCAGTGGGTGGAGGTCAGGCTATGAGTAAAATGCCTGGCATGTGGCCTACTCCACCCACCTTCAGTTTTCCTTCCCATTTCTTCCTTCCCCCCACTTCCCCCCACCGACTTAGCCTCGGTCACCCTCCGCCAAGAATCCCAGAGGTGCAGCCAACCCGGGTATCAGCTCTGAGGGACCCCAAATGACCCTCTAAGACGTCAGCCTCAAAGGGTGAAACAAGACTCCCTGGCCCCAGGTGGCCCCTCTGGGCTCTGTGGGTTTTAGCTAAACCCACCTTCTTTGCATGTTGGCACTTTTAGCCTGTGGTGGTCTCGGCAACAACTCTGCTATTTCCTGGACAGTCAGAGGAGCATGTAAAGCCATGAAGTTTACTGTCACATGTAACTTTGGCTTCTGCCCTGGACCTCTAGATCCAGTTTTTTCTTCTCTATAATAAAATTCCTGGCCTGGCCGGTGTGGCTCAGTGGTTAAGCGTTGACCCATGCACCAAGAGGTCGCCAGTTCGATTCTTGGTCAGGGCACATGCCCAGGTTGTGGGCCCGATCCCCAGTGAGGGGCATGTAGGAGGCGGCTGATCGATGTTCTCTCTCATCAATGTTGCTATCTCTCTCTCTCCCTTCCTCTCTCTCTAAAATCAATAAAGAAAAAATATTTTTTAATTAAATAATAAAATTTTCCTGCAGTTGGAACAACCTGTCTTCCAGATGGTGTAGGAATTCAGTAGAAGCCAGACTTTCTTTAGTAGTAATTATCATCCACTCAGTAAGTACATCCATCCACCCATGCATCTGTCCATCCACCCACCCATCCATTCATCTACCCAGATATCTACCCACCCGTCCATCCATCCACTCACCCATTCATCTACCCAGATACCTACCCACCCGTCCATCCATCCACTCACCCATTCATCTACCCAGATACCTACCCACCCGTCCATCCATCCACTCACCCATTCATCTATTCATCTGGCAGCTACTCGGTGAGCCCCTGCTATGTGCTAGGCCCTATGTCAGGCACTTGGGTTGTAGTGCAGGACAAGACAGGTGAGGCTGATAGTCTCGTGAAAGTGAGTGATGCCTTGTTCTGTGTCCACACTCTGGGGACTCCACCTCAGGCCCTCACAGGCTGTCCTCCTTGGTGTCCTCAGCCTTGGACATGCACCACAAGGCTAAGGGGTTGGAAAGAGGCCCCAAACAGCATTGCCCTGCCTCCTACAGGCCATAAGCCTGGGGGGGGGGGGGGGGAATGGAGTGGGAGGCAAGGAAGCTCCATGTAGGGGCTGTGAGCAGATCGGCTTCCTGTCTCGAACACTGAGCGCTCCGTTCCCTAGGACTAGCCCCCTGAAAAGTACAGCAGCCAACCCAGCACTCCAGCAGGAATGTGAACTGTGGTCTTGTAGCTGCCACACATGTAACCTCTAAAGATCAGAACATGTCAGAAACTACCATAAGTAGAATAAGATACTAACAGTAAACCAGGGAAAAGTGCTCCCACAAATCAGCAAGCCAAGAATTAAGAGCCTTAATATATAAAACGTTTTTATAAACCAACAAAAAAAGGACTAAGACTTAATAGGTACCTGGGCAAATGCCATGTACTCATTCATTCAACAGATACTCGCTGAGCTTCTCCTTCGTGGCAGGTGCAACAGGTCCCTTTTCTCATGGACTCTCATTCTAGTGGGAAGGTGGGGCGGTCAGACCTTAAACAGACAATCAAACAAGCCAGTTTCACATGTGGTCACATCTAGTGGATGTTGAGACGACAGGAAGTAGACTGGTGAGACAGGTGATGGGGCAGGACAGGGCTCAGCTGACCAAGGGAGTTGCTAAGCACAGAGTCTTCTTGTTGCTTTTTTTTTTTTGTTTTCCAAGTTTTCCATAGTGGGCATATGATCTCCCTGGGAAGAAATCATTTACAAATCCCATTAAAGGATTGGCCCCAAACCCGCGGGGCTGGTACAGAGTCTTAGAGACAAAGGACGGAGTGAGACCAGGAGGCTCTGCGTCCGGATGGTCTGAGCACAGTGGTCAGCCACGCCCTGGCCACCAGGATCTGAAATGGGGCACCAAGCCAGGCACAGGGCTGAGCAGGGACAGGACGGGGACATCCTTGGCCCAACTACTCTCTCCTTGTGGAGCTGCACCGCTCACCCCAATCGTGCCGTGGCCTCCTGGGACCCTTCTTCCTGTTCCTGAAGCCTGCGGGCTCCGGGGGGGGGGGGGGGGCGGGGGGAAGGGAGGTCCTGTGGGCAGAGCACTGCTCTATTCTGGGCCACAGTGTGTCTGAGACAAGCGAAGGTACAAATAAATACGTAAAGGTCTAAAACAGTGTACAGTTTCCGACCCAAGGCTGCCTCAGTGCCCTGCAGTCGGTCCCATTCCAGACTTCAGTAGTCAGAGACCCCACCCCACCTCTGGCCCTGTGAGATTTCACAGGAATCCGTGGGGTGTTTGCTGGAAGTACATCACCGGGCTGCTGTACACCACTCCCCCCAGCAGCATCAGACCCTGCCCAGGGGGCCAGGGGGAAAACTTCATGCTGCTCACACGAGGAGGTGGCATGTTTGGCACAGATGCCTCCCTGCATCTCTGTTCCTAGTCCAATAGCCAGGGCGGGAGGTCACAGCACCCAGGACAGGCCTGGCCTCACAGCTGTTGGCCTCCTGTTGTGAGATGACTTGGGGTCTTCAAGATGGGCAGGGGCTCCCATCCTTCAAGTCTGCTGGCTGTCAGACCTCTATCTGGAGGTATCTGGGCCCAAGAACAGAGGGGCAGATACTGTATCCCCCACTTCACCCTCGTGTCCTAGCTGGGTGGTGGTACACGGGGAGCTCCATCGCCAAAGCAGGAAAGAGGGTCCTGACTTGGGGGAGGCAGAGCCCCTGCTGACCGGTCCCTGCCCTTGGTCCTCTGCAGAGCTCAGAGATGCCTGGGACACAGGTGGGCCCTCAGGGAGTCCCCAGTCTTGAGAACTTCAGTTGCTCAAACCAAAGAGAAGTAACACAGGATGTAGGAATAAGCGGTGTGGCCCTGGCCGGTCTGGCTCAGTGGTAGAGCGTGGGCCCGCGAACCAATGAGTCATGTGTTTGATTCGGCCAAGGACACGTACCTCCGTTGCAGTTTGTCCCCTGCCTTGGGCGGGTCTTGCAGGAGGTAACCAGTTGATGTGGCTCTAGCACATCTATATTTCTCTCTCTCTCTCTCTCCCTCCCTCCCTCCCACTCTATCTGATGACAAATGGAAAAAGTATCCTCGGGTGAGGAATTAAAAAAAACAACGATGTGGAGACTGGATTTCGGTCTCAGTTCTGCCTCTGATTGGCTAGAGACCTTGGGCAAGTCGCCTAACCTCTCTGGCTCAGGAAAGTGAAGGTGTTGGGCTGGATTTGGGGTTTCAAACGGTCTGGGCACTCTTGCGCTCTGCAGAGGTGGCTGGGGGCAGGAGGAGCGGTGGAGCTGGGCTCTGCCTTCTTGTGTTTCTCAGTTCACATTAGCAAACAGTTCTGTGTCCAGCCAGAAGCCCGCACCTGGACTCTGGAGTCTGTGCTCTTTGGGACCTTCACGGTCTCCCCGCTGGTTCCACTGCTGTCGTTTGGCAAAGGACGGTGATGGGCTCCCACTTTCTTTGCAGCAGCATATCTGTGTGATGCAAGAGATCGGGGGAGATCAGAAACAGAGCCTACGCTTAGGCTGATGGCACCTCAGCCCCCTTCTAGCCTCTCCTTGCTGCTCCCACCACTGTGCAACTATGGGACAGATGGGAGAGCCGGGCAGCTGCAGGGCACCTGGCTGGGGCCAGCTCAATCCAGACCTCTCCCGGAAGCACTCCATGGGCTCATTCACCCGCACCCACTCTCCACGCTGGCTGACAGCTGGCCATGCTGGGCTAAATCTTAACAGGGACAGTGAGTTTTTCCCATCAACAGTCAACACACTTTCCCCAAAGAGGACATCCAGCTCCAAACCTCAGTGTGAGAGGAGTGTCTGCCACCTAGTGGTCCTTGGTGGCACTGCATGGCCCAAGTCTGGGAAGTGGCTGAGAGGGCCACTGGCTGTGAAAAAGCAGGAGAGGAGCATGAACAGGGGGCTGCAGGGCTGGAGCTCCTCCCCCTTTTCCTGTGAGGGTGAGAATCCCCAGAGCACTTCCCTTAGGTCACCTAACCCGTGTTACTCATGACTAAGCACCGCGCTTTGACGTGTATCCCTCTCCTTTACTTTTCACGTGGATATTCTGGGATTTGCGGCTGAGGAAACAGGCGTATGGAGGAAACGAGCCCAGCTGAGATCACAGGGCTGAAGGGCGGACACCTAGACCCCGCTCTGACTCCGAAACTGCCTGTTCTCCATCGGCCCACCGCACTCAGATCCTAGCCAGGGGGACATGATCACAGATGGCAGATGGGACCACCGGGACATGCCCGATAGAGGACAGGGATTCTCGGGCAGCGGGGGCTGGAGGCACCAAGAAAGGCTTCCTGGCACACGCTGAGAAATGAGACACACGAGTGGTACTGGCCCTGCTCTGATAAGGGACACCAAGCCCAGTTCTGTGCTGGCCTTGACACACTTATTTCAAAACAGAGAGTCTCTTTCCTACACTACTATGAAAGGGTGAGTGACCCTGTGGCCATAAACCCCTTTATCATAACCCCACCAACCCCAGCCAGGGCGTTACCTTTTTCCGTGTTGCTGTAGAATGTGTAGGTACACGTAGGCAGCTTCATCCAACGTAAGTTAGGAATGCTTTAAGCTGCAAATCACTCACGATGCACCGGATGGTTTTAATCAGAGTGGAGGGCTGTTTTGTCGCTTGCGCTAAGAAGTCACGGGGTACGCAGTTGATGACGATGGCAGCTTTTAGCCCTGCCATCAGGGAATCATGGAGCCACCTCTTCCTCTTGTTCTTTAGGATATGAGCCTTTTCTTTGTGCCTGTCACCTCTGGTCACAAAACAGCTGCTGTGCCTCTGGGCTTACTTCTGTGTTCCAGGCAGAAGGGAGGGAATGGGCAAAACCCAGAGGGACATATCAACTGAATCTGCCCTTTTTCTTTCTTTTTTCCCTTGATAAATGAATAGAAGCCACAATCTATTTAATTTAGTTGGATATATTAGGGTGACACTAGTTAATAAAAGTATATAGGTTGCAGGTGTACAGTCCTGTAACACATCACCTTCGTATTGTGCTGTGTGTTCACCAGCCCAGAGTCTGCCCCTGTCAAAAGTTTTCCTGGAAGCCCCACCCAGGGACTTCCACTTACATCTAAATAGCCAGAACAGGGTCTCCTGCCCCCTACCCCGAGCTGCAAGGGAGTCTGGGCGGTAAGCATGTTCAATTCATTGCTACTTCCCCCCCAAAAAAGTATAATTCAGTTAATTAGGAAGAAAGAGAAGATGGGATTTGGGTAGGTCACGAGAAGAATAAGCCTCATGTCAAAAACCTTTGTCCTGGTACCTAAAGTGCTGGGGGAGAGGCCTGGTGAATGCGAGTGAGCCCCATGAAAGCCAGCCCCCCTAAAGTGAGGGGCTCAATGAGGCCAGTGCCCTCAAACATTTTAACCAAAGTCGTAACAAACTAAGGAGAATGAACTTGTCGGCATCTGTGCAAACCACTCTTTCATCTTAAAACTTCATGTAAATTTTGCAATCTGAAGTATGTCAAAGCTTACATTACTTTAGGAAATATTCGATAGAACAGATGTGAATTCATTTCAGAAGGTAAAAAGATAAATGAATGGTTCCAATTTTTTACTTACTTTAAATCTTTAAAATCTTATAACTGTAGTTAAAATTTTCTCTGCACCGTTTAAAATTATTTTTTTAGAATAAGATATATAATCACTATATATGCCTGTGTGTACAGTGAGAAGTCTGCCGCCCCTCCTCCACCATGTCTCTTAGCCACCCCTTTCCCACCCTAAAGACATCCGTGGTGATCAGTTTTTTCTGTATCCTTTAAAATGTAAAACAGCATTTTAAAAATAAGAATTCTATCTCAGAGGCGAGCCAGTGAGCAGGGCCTGACAGCTCGGGCTGGACTTCAGGAAACTCGGGAGGCTGTGGGGTGTGGGGTGGGCAAGCGGCTGAAGCTCCACCTGATGGTCCTGCAGCAGCGGTGGGCGGGGCTTGGAACGGTGGGCGGGGCTTGGAACGGTGGGCCGGGCTGGCCGAGCTGGAACAGGCTCCTTTCCTTTGTGGGTGGGCCGAGGCGGGCCTAGTAAGCCTGCACACCCTTGTCCCCTCAGGTTCCTACTACCTGACCACCACCTACGGGGCCCTGGAGCACATCAAGAACTACGACAAGATCACCGTGACCCGGCAGCTGAGCGTGGAGGTGCAGGACTCCATCCACCGCTGGGAGCGCCGGCGCACGCTCAACAAGGCCCGGGCCTCTCGCTCCTCCGTGCAGGTGACTCCTGGGACAGAGGATAGGAGACCATGCCCCAGACATCATCCCCACTGCCTGTGAGCTCAGGAGCGTGACACCGACTGGCTGTTCCGGTCGGCAGGCTCCTGCCTGCCAGTGTGCCAGCTCTGTGCCCGCTTCCAGGGGAAGGGGGCCTAGGGAAGTATCACCAGGCATCGGTGTTCTAGTTGCGCAGACAAGACCAGGATGGGAGGAACGAGATGTTTATCCAACATTCCTTAGCGCTACGATGTCCTGGCACCCTGCTAGGGCTGGAGATGTGGACATAAGTCCTGCCAGTCCCTCTTTTAGGGAGCCCACGAGCTGATCCACAGCCTTGCCCGTAGGTCCCTGGACAAAAGCAGCGGCCGCCAAGGTCCGCCTGCCCCCTCCAATCCAGCTTCCCAGCTCTCTCTATGCAAACCCAGTAGTCAAGCTATTGGTGGCCAGACTCCTGGTTCCTCCTCTACCCCATCAGCAAATCATGCTGAGCTCAACTCCCTCTGCCCATGCTGCTCCCTCTCTCCTCTTCCCTGGCTGCCATGCCACTTGCCCATCTTCAGTTTCTTCCCTGCCCCCCACCTGCCCCCATCCCTACAGCACAGGTTAGGTGCCCTCCTCTGTGCCTCCTGCTGCTACTCTCCCCCACGAGAGCACATTTCACACCAAATTGTAACCATCTATGTATTAAGAAACTGTCCTGGGAAGGAGGGCCCATGGCTCACATGTCTCAGAGTCCCCAAGCCCAGGGTCGGGGACAGAGTGGGACTGGGGTGTGTGCAGAATGGAGGGAGTTAGAACAGTGAACCAAGCAGCAATCAGAGATGCAAATAGCCATGCAGACTACTCACTTCCCTGGCACCCAGAGCACACTGGACCTGAACCCCAACCCTGGCTTTCAAGATGGCCCATCTGTAGTAAGAAGAGCTAAGGCCTGGAAGGCAAAAGTCTCGTGGTCTGGACTCAGCGTGTACTAGCTGCTGTGTGACCCTGAGTAGTCCCTGCCCCTCTCTGGGGCTCAGTGTCCCTGACAGGTGGACTGTGAACCAGATGAGCTCTGCCAGTACATGTTCTAGGCTGTCAAGCCGACGTCCTCCCTCCTCTCATCAGTGGTGTCTTGATGATGCTTGGTAACTGGCTCTCTGGGTTGAAAAACAAAAGCTCTGATTTAGCTCCTGTTGATTTCCATGGTGTAAATATTCCCATCATGGCCGATTTCAAGCCACTAACTTGGTAGCACTGAACTTGGAATTGGGAAGAGATGTACACCATTGGCTTTCTCAAGCTGGTATGAGCCAGCATGAGTTGGCAAGAGCTAGCTCCAGCGCAGCACTGCTCCCCACCCCCTCCTGGGACACTTGTCCCTCCCCCAACTCTTGGATATGGGCACTCTTTGTTCAAGCCTGACCCACGCATTCCTTAATTCTTGCTCCCACCCTGTGGGTTCCTAGTGCTAAGCTAGACAGAGCACCAGTGCCTCCCGCTGGGGAGGCGACGCTTAGGAGAGAGACCTGGGGTCAGGGATGAGGAGCCCCTCAGCACTGTTTCTGGGGTCGAGGGAGGTCAGCACCCTCCGCCCCCTCCCAGTGCCTCCTCTGCACCCCATACCCTAAATCCCTTCCTTCCCTGGGAGTGAAAGCCCAGAGCCTGACAACCATCAACAAGTATAAAGGGCCCTTGAGAGGCCTAGTAGGGGGCAAGAAGTCACTAAAACCCAAGGCAGTGAGCTGGGCTCCCCCTGCTGGAAGAAAGGGGAGATCCCAGTGAAGCTCTCCACCCGGAGCCTGGAGCCTTGCATGCACTTGCCTCTCTGTAGCCATAATTATCATACACATCCTGAGAAGGCTGTGCTGTTACCATCCTTCCACCAGGGGGCAGCCCCGCGCATACCCCGTCCTACCTGCCCTCTGGGCACTTGGGGATAGAGGACTGTCCCCGGCTCAGAGCTAGTTTTCTGTGCTTCCTCACAGCCCTGGTGTGAAGGGCTGGTGTCATCCCGGTTTACAGGTGAGGAAATGGAGGCTCAGAGCGGTCAAGGTCACACAGTGAGTGGCAGCCGATTCAAAGCCAGTCAGGGACTAGAAGGCCCATCTTTCCACCATATGGCCCTCCCAGGCTGTAGAGGAAGGTGTAAGTGCCATTGGCGTGTGTGTGTGTACGCACGCGTGCGCGCTCTCATTCCCTCCCGTGCCCCCTGTCCACCTGGCCAAAATCCTCCACCTTCCAGGCCCAGCTCCCTCCCTCTTCCACCAAGCCTGTTCCTTCTCTCCAGTTCCTCCCACCCCAGCCTCCCCCCTCTCCAGCTTGTTGCCACCTCCAGGTTCTTCCAGCCCTAAGGGCTGAACTGTTCCTCCTGCCTTAGCAGTCCCAGCTGAAACCTGGGATGCGGGGGCTGGGAGCTGCCTCCAGTGTTATTCCTGCTGCTGTCCCTGCCCTGCGTTGTCCCTGGGGTGCAGTAGGACTGCAGAGATGATGAGCAAGTGACAGATGAATCAATGATGGCGAGCCCGTGCACTGGCCAGGACTCAAAGTCACTGACCCAGAATGGTCGGCCCCATTGAGAGTTGAGGCTCGGAGAAGGGAGGGCCTTGCCTTAGGTCACACAGCAGGGTCAGCCACTGGCACCCTGACTTCAGCTTCACGACGCTCCTACCTACAATCCCTTTTCTCTACAGAGAGGAGTCTGGGGCCCAGAGAGGGAAAAGGTCTTGTCCAAGGCCACTCAGCTCCTCATCCGTGTCCCAGTGTTGGGGTGGGGGTGAGACAGGATGCCCGCTTGGCCCATAGTGACCCAAGCCCTCTCCATCTCACCCTGCAGGACTTCATCTGCGTGTCGTACCTAGAGCCGGAGCAGCAGTCGCGGACACTGGCGTCGCGGGCGGACACGCTGGCCTCGGCGCTGTGCGCACAGTGCGCAGAGAAGTTCGAGGTGCTGCAGCCGCAGGACTACCGGCTCTTCGTGCTGGTCGAGGGGCGCTGCTTCCAGCTGGCGGACGAGGCGCTGCCGCATCACATCAAGGGCTACCTGCTGCGGAGCGAGCCCAAGCGCGACTTCCACTTCGTGTACCGGCCGCTGGACTGCGGGGGCAGCGGGGACCCGCCCTGCCTCGTGGTGCGGGAGCCCAACTTCCTGTGAGCCAGGCTACCGCAGCCCCCTCCATGGCAGTGTTGACTGAGACTGGCTGGGCGGAGAAGCGGGCAGACTGGGGTCACACTTGCTCACCCCCATGCTCACACTCCGCGGAACCCCCTCATACATGCAGGAGCCCATCTGAGCACACACACTCCCCACGTGGATGCCCATATGTCACACATGCTTGCAACCCACTGAGCATGCCCAGGTTTGTGAAAATGACAGGAAGCAGTGGTCACAGCACTGGGCGGCCAAGTTACTTGTTAGACAGAAAAGGACAGGCTCGGAGAGAAGGGACTCTCCAGCCAGATGCAGCAAACAGAGCTCCAGACTGGGCCCTGGGCCACATAGCCTCTGCCTCCCCCTGCCATCTGCCCAACCCGAAGTATTTCTCCTGCACCCCAGGATGGCGCTGGGATGTGTTGGATGCATCCAAGATCTCAGGAGTTTCACTCAGGGTGTGTGTTGAAGAGACACACACACCCCCATCTCTGCATCAGAGCCTGCCCTCAGCTACCTGCACCCACAGTCTCTCCTGCAGCTCCTGAACGCCTCCAGAAGCAGCCAGACATGCACGGGGACATCAGTGAGGCCAGCTCCACAGCTCCATGGATGAGGCCAGCCGTGGCTACACAGGATCAGTGACAGGGCCCTTCCCCCAGTGGGCACCAGGGCAATCGTGGCAAGAGGCACTGTGTGGGGAGAGTTTAATAAAAGCCCTTTTGAAAATTGTATCTCCTTTTCTCAAGGGGCTGGAGCTCTGCTCAGCCAGGCAGGCAGCCCATTAACAGCCTAACCCCCTTCCCAGGTGGGGTTCAGAAGACCCCCCTCCTTTCCACTGATGGCCCTGTCTTTTGAGAATTTACAGTGTACCCTCAGCCCTCAGGGCCCTGGCCTCTGTGTACCCCTCAGCCCAGTATGTCCTGCCTCTTCTTTATCCTTGGTTCCTCCCATCATTCCCACCTCTGGATTGTTTTCCAAACAGTCTCTCACCTTCGTGCCTCTGCTACCTATCCCAGAAATATCATTCCCTAAAGTCTTTGCCTAGTGAAACTCTTATTCACCCTTCAAAGCCCATCTCCTCCAGGAAGGCTTCTCTGATTTTTTGTACTGGCCAGATAGACCTTACATCCTACATCCCCCTGGGCTCGTCTCTCTCACAAGAGACATCCCATCAGATCGCAGCTGCCTGTTGCTCCTGCTTTCTCCACCAGGTTTGAACCATTCATGTCTGCGTCCTCCGCATTGATTAACAGTGTGTATTTGTGGAGTGCCTGCTAACTGTCAGCACTCTTCTAGGCCCTGGGAAACAGCAGAGAGCAAAACCAAGCCCGTGCAGATAGCAACGAGCAGGGCGCACAGGAGCGCAGCTGGACCCACCTGAATTAAACTCCTGGGCATAGCCAGTCGACAGACACCTGTAGTGAAATGCGAGGCTCACTCCAAAGCAGCCATCCCTGGAGGACTTTCCAGGCTGGGGGTCGGTGTAGCAGGCATGAGAAAACACCCCCCGAAGCTGAGAGCAGCCAGCCAGGATCCCAGGTTGCCCCCCTCCCCCGTGCAGGCCCTGTCCCCACCTGAGCTTCAGTGTCCCTGCACCCCTGAGCTGAGCTGTTAGAAGCCTTGTGCCCCCAGCTGTAAGGCACTGCCCACTGCCTCCAACAAGGCCTGAGACTGGTGGAGAAGGTCACCCCAGCAGCCTCTGGGCCCAGGTGGGGCCGTAGCTTGGGGTGGACAGAATTCAGAGGGTGGGTTGCGTACCAGCCCAGCCCTGGGGGATTATGTTAAGCTCCCAGGAAGGGAGCAGAGCCAGCCAGTGAGCTAGACTGAGGGGGCCACTGTCAGGTGTGTGTGTGTGTGTACATACATGTGTATGCAAGGGTATATACCAGGCCCACCATCCTGAGGTCAATGCTGGGGTGCACCCATCATCAGGAGAGGCCAGAGAAGAGGAGCCCCTGTCATCTGGATTCTCTGTCCCAAGGTAGGTGTGACGGGGTGGGGTGGGGCCTGATCCCGGGCCAGGAGACAGGACCGGCACAGGTGCGGAGCCCCTGGGGCTACTAGCAGTTCCTCCGCATTCTTGAACCTGGGCTGCACAGCGGCCCCCGAGGGAGGTATTTCTGGATGTCATTTCTGAGGACATGTCGGCTCAGAGAAAGGGAGTGTGGCAGTCTGCTCAGGCTCCATGACGAAGCGCCACAGATGGGGGCGTCCACGCAGAATGGACGGTCTCCGTTCTGGAGGCTGGAAGTCTGCCATCAAGCTGTCGGCAGTCGCGCCTCCTTGTCTCACAGATGGCGGCCTTCTCGTGTCACGTGGCCTTTCTGTGCACGGGCCCTGGTGGCTTCTCCTCTTCGAACAGGGACACCAGTCCTACTGGGTTAGGGCCCCACCCACATGACCTCATTTAACCTGAGTTAACTCTTTTTTTTTTTAAATGTGTTTTTATTGTTTTTTAGAGAGAGAGGAAGGGAGAAAGAAACAGCGATGTGAGAGAGAAACATGGACAGGCTGCCTCCTGCACACCCCCAGCCAGGGATCGAGCCTGCAGCCTGGGCATGTGCCCTGACCGGGAATCGAACCGGGACCTCTCAGTCCACGGGACTGACCCACACTGGCTGGACCTGAGTTAATTCTTTAAAGTCCCGTCTCCAAATACAGCCACATCCTAAGGTACTGCTGGTTGGGCTTCAGCATGTGAACTTAAAGAGACACAATTCAGCTCATCACAGGGGTGGCTGCCCAGCCCAAGATCAAGCAGCCAATAAAAAGACCAAGTGAGCAATGGGGGGGAAACATCTGTAACAAAAATAAATTCATTTTTTTTAAAAAGAAGCCCAAGTGAGGCTTGAACTCAGGGCTGACTGACCTCTAACTCTAGGTTTCTCTTCCCTGCCCTGTGCAGCATCCCAACATCAGACAATCCTGTCGCAAGACCCAGCTCGGGGGGAACTTTCCTGAGGCAACCAGCCCTGGTGAGTGTCACAGGCTGACCTGACCAAGGGGACCCAGCAGCAGCTGAACTAGCCTACCTTTTCCACAGGCCCGAGCAAGGGGTCAGGAGTCCAAAATCGTGTGTGTGCGTGCACATGCGTGTGTGTGTGTGTGTCCAAGCGTGATGGGACCACAGGCTGTGACAAAAAACAAGGACTTGTCTGTCTGTCCTCCCTGGCATTTGTCCCCTCTCCCCTTGGTGGGCTCTCTCCTTCCCTCTGCCTTTCCTGGCTCTGCAGCCTGGGGCTGAGACTGGCCCACAGTGCTGGGAGAAGCCACCCAGGGTTCTGCAGAGAGAGGGCCACGCCCTCACCCTGCTGCTCTTCCATCCCCAGGCCTAGCTGTGGCCCCTGCCTCTCTCTGACACCTGGGTGCAAAGTCCTGCTGGTCACAAAATGTCTTAAACTGGCCCTGAAGATGCCTGGCCCATGACAGCCTCATCTTAATGCGGTGTATCCAATTCTCCCTCGTTATGATCGAGTCCCTGCTGAAGGGACAGGGGACAGGCCAGCAGGTGAGGCAGGCAGGGAACAGAGACCCTGAGAGATAGGAGAGATGGGGGGGTCCTCTGTGTGCAGTGTAGATGCCCTCCCCCATTCACAGACAGCCTTCTGTCCCCACTTGGTGGGCCTGAGGCCATGTCTGGAAGGCCTGGCACACGTGTGCGGATGAGGTCACTGTGTGTGCTCTCCCTGGGCCAGAATCTGGCTTGGAGCCGCTCCTGCTCTGCAGGGTCATCTGAGGTTGTGGAAGTGGGGAGCATCTGTGGCAGGAACCAGGCCCTTCCTTCGCTGGAAGGTCACATGGAGCAGGGCTTTGGGGCTGTGGACTCACAGCAGCTCGTCTGTGTCCCCTCCCTGGCATTGGCCCCCTCTCCACTTGGAGGGCAAGGAGAGTTGCAGCAGACACGGAGCTCGCGCCACCTTGTGCCAGGAGTATAGTCTTTTGTCTCGGTCCCAGGAGTCTCACATCTTCTGCCAGCACCTAGGAAACTGTGGCAGGTGACCTGGTTGGCTTGCAAGCAGGGGAATCTTAGACTCTCAACAGAGCTTGACAAGGAAGGTGGAAGAAAGTGAAAAATCACAGAAAAATGAAATCGAAATGTGCTCTATGTAGGGTAACTGATCATTTCAAGGGGGCTTGAACAGAAACCTGAGCCAGAACTGCTGGGAGATGAGGCTGAAGGGTGGGCCAGGGCCTGAGTGGTCCTGGTTGGCAGCACAAGGAGTCGAAGTTCCCCACCCACGTAGGACAGAATTGGAGGGGCCAGATGAGAGAGAGGGGAGACAGGGGTGAGAGGGGAGAGAGAGGAGAGAGGGAAGAGCTACAACTTGATCTGCGGTTGGTAGTCGCCTCTGCTGAGCCCGGAGGTGCATGGGAGAGGCCATGCTGAGAACCAGGGCCGGCTGCCACCAGTACCAGGCCTGGGGTCACTCAGCAAAAGGCACAGGGTACCCCAAGGCCTGCCACCACTTGCCAGCTGGCCTGGCTCAGCCACTGAAATGACCTGCTGTACACCAGTTAGGTGCAGTGGGTCTCAGGGAGTCAGCAGGGTGGAACGAGGTCACCAGGTCAGTGAAGACTCAGATCTGGCGTTGTGGGAAAGGGTCCAACACAGGGACCGTGGCGGCTGTCCCTCCAGACCTTGCCCCAAAGCCTCACCACTTAGTTTCTCCCTGTACCTCTCTGGCAACCCCCAAACCGCTGTCCCTCCCGGAGCCCAGGGTGAGTGCCTGTGAGCAAGTGAGTTTTTGTGCTGGGCCCTTTAAGAGGACGCCCAGGTTTCCTGTGGCCTTCTGTGGAGCCCCATGTGGGGCTGGGACCCCTCTCTCCTTAGGCGGGACCTCTGCAGCTGAGACATCCCCCGATTCTCCACCACCACACATGGGTATGGGGCCTGCCCACCTCACGTCTCGCCTCCTACCAGTCTCACGTGCCTTCTTCCGTCTCCTTAGTTGTAGGACTTCTGCGCAGCTACACTTCAGCTGGTCCCCCAGGTTGGTTGTTGATGTGGTGCTGGGAGGAGGCGGGCACAGCATTCACCTGCTCTGCCATCTTGACCAGATCTTGCAAACTAGTAATTGAAGGGAAATTTCTTATTTTGAAAAAGAACCTCTTAAAAAAAACAACAACCCCAAGCTACCATTCTACTTAACAGCACAAGTCTAAATGCTGTCCCCGTGAGATCAGGAACAAGGTAAGCTTGTCTATTCTTTTGACTCCTAGTCCACGTCCTTCCAGATGCCAATGCAGTGACACAAAAAAAGAAAGTAATGGTGTCCAGGTGGAAAAGGAAGAACTAAAACTAGTCCTGCTCACAGATGACATCATCGTCTGCACAGAAAGTCCCCCACAAAGCTCATAGAATCAGAAAGTGAGTTTAGAAAGGTTATGAAATACGAGGCTAATAACAAAACAAACATTATATTTCTATACATTAGCCATGAACAATTAAAAACTGAAACGTCAGTCTGGCTGGTGTGGCTCAGTGGTTGAGCATTGACCCAAGCACCAAGAGGTCACCGGTTTGATTCCCGGTCAGGACACATGCCCAGGTTGTGGGCCCAATCCCCAGTGGGGGACATGCAGGAGGCAGCCAATCGATGTTCTCTCTCATCTATGTTTCTATCTCTCTCTCCTTACTTCCTCTCTCTCTCAAATCAATAAAGGGAAAAAATTTTTTTAAAAAACTGAAACTTTAAACAGCATTTAGCCC